AGGCATACACATTTTGTTCAGGGACAATCTCTGAGTAAGAAATACAGAGTCTCTGGTTTTGAGTTCCAGAAATCTTTGCCAGGGACTTATTAAGTTCCATTTATGATATGTGTGTGTGTGTGTGTGTGTGTGTGTGTGTGTTTTGTGGGGTGGTGGGGGGAGGGGTGTCCATGGATGCTTATGTGCATATCTATGCAGGTATGGGAGGATATGGTGCCAAATAGCTTGGAATAAATCAATCTATCATTGTTAAGGTTGTATGGTTGTAATAATAAAATTTATGAACATTTTTCAAAAATTATATCTAGCTTGGAGGGAGAAAGCTATCAAAGGGAAGACCCAAGCTCTCTGTAGAGACACATGAGGAAAAATGCTAAGACTTGCATTTGACACTCTGGAGGACATAACTGGAGCCAGTGGGTGTATGGCATGGAGAAGGATGCTTGGCTTTCTCTAGAATTGCCTACCCAAAGATGGTCTGAACTGCCCAGGAGAGTGTGAGCCCTGGAATTGGAGATGGCCTTTTAGGCTATTCCAGATGAGATTCAGAGAGACCCTCTGAAGAAAATGGTTAAGGTTTCACACATTAAGGCTTGGCCTTTATTCTCCCCCAGATGAATTCTGAATAATATGCAATGTAATGATTGGCATGTTCCTTTATTCACAGTCTGTACATTTATAGCAATTCAACTGTGATATGCAAGAAAAAAAGTATTCCTGGCTTTAGGAAACTCTGTGTCTTTTCTAAAATGAAATGAGTATCTACTTGCCTTTAATCAGGCAGGTCTGTCATCCTGGAAATGTCAAGGACAAGTTGTAGAGATGGACACTGGCAGAAAGATAACACTAATATGTCAATAGCGATTGTGGGATTATAGGAGATTATTATTTTTTCTTTTTTTCCTTGATTCTCTATTTTCTAAATATTATTAAAATAAACATGTAGTTTTTTTTAAAAATTAAGTTACTAAAAACATAATATGGATTTCATATAACTATATTGCTATAAATAAATGAAAAATAAAATGTAAAGGTCACTCTTTAACTTTGCTGATAACATCTTTTTTTTGAAACAGGGTCTTGCTATGTAGTTCAGGCTGGCCTTGAACTTATTTTATAGCCCAGGCTGGCCTCGAACTCTTGATCCTCCTGCCTCAGCCTCCCAGTCTTGAGATTACAGGCATGTACCACCTACCTGGCCTTGCTGATAACATCTTTCAATCTAAATAATATTTATTTAACTACACAAAAATAAGTTGTACCAAAGGAGTGAGAAATAAATAACTATGCAAAAATTTTATATAGAATTTGAGCATAAAATCCTTTTGGAGATGATTGCCTTTCAAAGGAATATACACACAGCCACTGATTTTTAAATCCTAAAGAGTGGATTTGAAATTCATTCATTCATTTACTCATGGGACTCTTAGTTTTTATCACGTATAAATACCTGTCCTCAGTTGGTTGGGAGGATTCAGCAATGAGTGATGCTCCTTGTACTTGAAGTGCTTAGAGTCTACCTGAAAAGAGATCATACAAATCATCCAGACAACAAAGTTCTAAAACTTAGAGTGGAGAGAAAGTATTCCAGAAAGTAAACGCCAGAGAGGTAAAGATTATCAAACTTCTCATCCTTTAAGGCTCAAAAGACCCCATTCCTGAAGATGCCTCTTTGTTGGGCAGTAGCTTTAAGTTATCCTATCTTCCAGTTGAGATTCTTCCAGTTAGCATCTACCACAGAGAAATCTTTATTGAGAGCCAAATGTCTTTTCCTTGTTCTAACTTTTGTTCCATTCATTGTAAGTCCTATGGATTACCAAGTCAAGTTTGTTTTCAGAATTCCAGGCCATGTCTTTGCCTGAAGGAAGGAGGAAGGGGAGGTTAGAGTTGCATAATAACACAGTCCAGATTAACTACTGGTAGTGGATGTGGCAACGTGGAAAGAAGGGCTGCTCTCAGTCTGTTGATGAATAGCAGCCTCTCTTTATCTGTCTCTCCCTAAACAGTATCATATTCTTCTAAGTCTTACCTTTGGGGGAAGGGGGTGGTGTCAGTGAGAATATTAATAGTTAACACTTGTTTAACTTGTCAGCAAAAACTCTAAGGTATGATGGAGGAAAGTGCCAAACTGGGAATCCAGAGATCTACCCTAATTCCAGGTATCTTACTTCCAACCAGCCTCCCTCTGGTCCTCAGTTTTTTCATATGTTACATAAAGGAGTTGAACTGCTTAATACCCAAAACCTACAGCACCCTATAAATTAGAAACAAAGGGCCCTTATGATTTTATATTGGATTCATTTCCTAATCATGAGTCATCAGTCAACCTCTGGCCTTGCAAATACAAATTATTCCCTAGTGGTGGAAATTAAAGCACTTAATCCTCTTATGAGTAGGTTGTACACTCTGAATGCTGATGGACAGTATTATCTGGGAAGCTAAGGCAAAGGAAATGGCTCCAAAATCTCTCCTGGGATCTAAATGGAAAGTAAGACAGGCTATGACATCAGCTGCCATTTTCTCTGTAAACAGACCAAGTAATACAAATATCAGTATTAAATTATGTGTGTATACTTTTTCATTTTTGCCTTTCATGGTAAACTGCACTGAATTCTTTGCTCTTAGGTTAAGGTTATGTAGAAAGAACAGAAATTATGAGCACAGAATTACAGCATTTGACAGCTTTAGGTGACTTTAAAGATTAGACCCAAAACTCTTCTCCAGTAAAGAAAAAATGAGGATGTAACATACAATGGCTCAATCCAGGGTTGACTTCCTGAAGCATATTTTCACAATTTGCCTCACCTAAACCCAGTGGAATTGGAAATATCACCCCCTGTGTGCCAAAAAATAAATAAACACTTTTTAAAAGCCAAGGAAAGGAGTCTAATCTCATGTAATGAGGTTACAAAGAGCCCTAAAAAAGGAAGATATTTCTGAGACACAAACAGTTCAGACTCCAAGTGTATATCTAGAACAAATTCCTTACTCCAGGACACAGCTGCTCCATATTTCTATCCATTGTCTTCCTATCTCTAAAGATGGAGAAGCACCAGAGCTTTCTAAGGAAACGTTCTGAAAATAACGTTGCCTTTTAAATTTAGCATTGGACAGGTAAAATTCAGACGTTAAAAACCTGTTCTTCTTACCACAAAACGTGATGTTTGGCTAATTTCTCCCTTCTTTAATTCCCTATGAATTCAGGCAAGTTACTGTCAAAAGTGTCTCAATAAAGAAAATAATATAGTAGTTCCATATGTGAACTACTTAAACTAGATAGACAGGATTAGAGATTTAAGTTATTGAAATCATATAAGAATTCATTCCTTCCCAATCTATTTTGCCTCACTTTTCAGATGGTTCAGATCTGCCTCATTGTTTTCACAGTCTTCCTTACATGGAAAATGCACATACTTGTTTTGCTATCTGATCATATTTAATGATCTTTTGATAACCATACACTCCAAATCATTATGTCCGAGATGACACAATTAGAATTAAAAATACATACACTACCAGAACTGCAAGGGACTTTCAAAAGCATCTAGTCGTACACCCTTCCTGTAAAGAAGTCAAGTTGCAGTGAAACAGAATTGTCCCTCATTACATGGACAGTGAGTGGCAATGTGAGATCTAGGAACTATGTTTCCATTGTCCTTGTTTAGCTTCTTTCCACAGCCCCTGCTGCTTTCCTTTCTACTGAAGCTTTTCGAAACACTCACAAAGGGTTTCACGGAGGCTGTTCCTTGGGAGTCTGCCTCTCCCATTCCAGAGCTGCCTCTGCTATTCCACTGCATGAATTATAGATGCAAAAGGTTACTAAAGCTTGAATATGAAGATGAGTTCCTTTTGTCACGACAGTGTCTGTCAGTTAGGAAGGCAGGTTGCAATGCTTACAGTTATCACTTGTTTCCAAAATAAATTATTTTTCTAATTTATCCAAAATTCATTATTGCTATGCACTGTACTTTCAAGAAGGAACATTCTGTATTAACTATATGAGCCATTCAGTCACCTGGCTCATATCTGAAAATTATATATGACTAGTTGTCATTTATAATTTGGAATAGCCACCTATTAATGTTTTGATGATTCTGTGACAGAAAAACTGATTGCCTTAAACTCATACCTTCTGACTCAGGGCTGTCCATCCATACAGTTTCTGTTAGGGACCACTGGAGCAGTAGGGTCCAGTGGAAAGAGTACTCAACGACATTATAGTTATCCACATTAGAATCCTGCCCTGAACATCAGTAATAGAATGACTAATAGATTTCTGAGACTTCCTCTCCTCCTGGGTAAAATGTTTTTCAGATTTGAACTTGCTTTACCCGTGCTCTATTACTACACCTAAATTATACTTGTAACAATCGATTAGCTACAGAAATGAGAATACAGCAATAATGTTAAAAACTCTGTCTGGTGTTTCACAGATCTAAGCAGGTATAGAATCCTGTTTTGACATTTATTAGTTGTGTGATCTTAGGCAAGTTTCACCATCTTTGCCTTTTTGTTTTATCCCGGAATATTTCAAACATACTCCAGATACAAAGACTACAATAATTAAAATTATATACCAATCACCAGCTTAAGTAGCTTTTAATATTTTGCTAATACTTTTTCATTTCTCTTCAATACTTTTTCCCACCTGAGGTATTTTAAAGTACATCTGGCAAGTTGTTTCAAAGATTTCTGTACTTCAATTTTCTAATCTAGGAAATGATAACGTAATTTATGGAGAACTGTATTGAGTATTCAGTAAATATTAGCTGTTATTATTTTTGCTGGTACCTACGAGCACAGCCCCCTACTTGGCCATGTAACACCATTTTACAATGTTGCGCTCCCAGTTTAAGACAAAAACCTATAAGCACCCGCGTCTCGGTAGCAAGGTCACGGTCGCCCCCTTCAGGTCACTCTTGAGAGCCTCACCGGCAAGATGAGAATTGTCCCTCGCATGCTCCCGTCTTCGCGCGCGGAGGGGGCGGGAACAGGAAGTAGGGTTAGGCCGACTTCCGGGTGTGAATCCGCCCCTGAAGATCCTAGATTCCAGCAGCGGCTGGAAGGTGTTGCTGCAGAGCAGAGATGTTCCGGATCGAGGGCCTCGCACCGAAGCTGGACCCTGAGGAGATGAAACGGAAGATGCGCGAGGATGTGATTTCCTCCGTACGGAACTTCCTCATCTACGTAGCCCTGCTGCGAGTCAGTGAGTGTCCTCCTGGGCTGTGACCGCAAGACCATTTCGTCGGCATTGCCTATGCATCTTTCGTTCGTCAGGCGGCTGCGGGGTCTTCAGATGCTCACCTAAACTGAGCGTTTGTGGAGAGCAAGCAGAAAGCGCGTGGAGGGAGTCGGTGTTATGCGCAGTCTGGGGTCAGGGTGGGGACGTCAAAGTGCACGTGGTGGCCCACTGCGCATGGTTAAGTCGTTCTGGTTCACCTAATGTTAAGAGTATTTGAGTTGAACGAGCCTCACAGTTTATCCCCAGAGCAAGTCCTTTCTTTGCAGATCGCGAAACCCTGCCGGAGTAGGAAAATGGCTGGTCCAAGGTCATTCAACCATTTAGTGAATGAACTTGACCTAGAGTCCAAGTCTTTTAATAGGTTCCCTTTATTTATTGCTAACCTTTTAAATCTGAAAGTTTTTGCTTCCTGTTTATTTGTACAGAGGGTGAGGTAAATAATTTTTTTAAGGAATGAGAAGAAAAAAATAAAAAGCTATAGAAAATACCCTAGATGTTTTTATTTTACAGTTGGCAGAAAGTTACCTCCATTTTTTTTTTTTTTTTAAATCTGGACAGTGGCCCTTTGAGAGCTCGGTTTTCAGAGGGATATACGAAAGTCACCAGGTTTCAGGCACACTGAATATAAGAACGGGAAGCAGCTTTATGGATCAGCTCTCTAATTTTACTGATGCATCTTAGCAGTAACTTACCTCTGACGTCTCGTTTTCTGTAAGAGATCATTCTCATTGTTCTGTACCTGTATGTTAGTTGGCCGATCCGGATGTTTTTCTGTGTGTATCACTTGAAACCTCATAGTAACCGAGGCGTTATCAGGAAGAGTGGTTCAAATAACTGAAGACCATGCCACGGTTATGCCTTGGAAGACCGAGGCCGAGGCTAGAGCTCACTGAGGTTTCCCTGATTCAGGTGCTTTTTTCACTGTGTACTCTTTTGTTGTTTTTCTCTCCTTCCCCAGGAGAGGGAGTCTTGGGGAACAGAAAGACCCAAATCATGCAGCCTTACCAACAGCTGCCTACAATTCCAAGATTTACTTACTTGTTTTTAACTTTGATTATCATTTTTTTAAGTTGAGGTACAACTTCTACATTATGTAATACATCTTTACAATGTGCAATTCAGTGGGTTTTAGCATAGTCAGAGGTGTACAGCCATTATCACAATCAATTCTAGAACATTTTCTTTACCTTTAAAAGAAAGCCTCTGCCAATTAGCTGTCACCTGATTTTCCCCCTTCTCCAGAGCTGGGAAAGCACTAATTTTCTTCCCTATGGATTTACCTATTCTGGAAATTTCATATAAATGGAATTATACAGTGTGCATTCTTTTGTATCTATCTTATTTCACTTAGTATAATGTTTTCAGGGTTTATGTTACAGAACGTGTAGGAACATTTTTTTGAATAAAATTCCTTGTATGAATATACTACATTACGTTTATCCACTTTTTATTTTCCCCCATGTATTGTAGAAAAGACCAGATATACCACTGACTTTATCAGCTTCTGACAGATCTCAATGTCTTTATTATTCAAAAAAATGTTCTATTAACTATGAATACTGAGAAAGAATGTCATTCTCTCTTTTTTGAGTGCAGCACTTTTACACAGGACAGTAATGACACTTCCTAGATCTATATGACAACACTTAGTTTTCTAGACATTTCTGTGTATATCACTTTATGAAACCTCATAATAACCGAGGTGTTATCAGGAAGTGTAAATGATAGATAGCTAATCAGAGATGATAGTCAGCTGTTCCCTGCTTCAGTATTTTTCCCCTACTTGTTGCCTTCTTTCGAATGAATTTTTAAAGATAAGAAATGCCAGTTTGTTTTTTCTATAGTTTTGTTCATTTTACAGTTAAGAGCATCAGAATAAAGAGGTGTCATTTGAGAGACAGATAGGAATTACTCTTTATGGCTTTAAGAGGGAAAATTACCTGGAGGAAAGTTTTTAAATAGTATAACAATGAATTTATAGTACCTGTAGTTAAATGACAGTGGAATGAGTTGCTCTGGGTAGCAAAGTGAGTCTCTTCTGCTATGTTGTACAGGCAGAGGCTTGGCCATCATTTTGTGGGTTTTTTGTTTTTCATGTTGAATTAAGCCTGTTTTTCCCCAGTCTTATAGTTCTCTAATGTAGCATGGGAACTAAGTAGAGTTGAAAACTAATTTTGGGTTTGTTCTTCTTTCAGCTCCATTTATCTTGAAGAAATTGGACAGTATATGAAGATTGGGCATCATATGTGAGCATATGATAGAAGAACCTGGCTACAGTATCTCCTGCCTACCTGCAAATGAATAGGCCCAGAAAGGTGTAAGAGACTCTTTGATTGAATGGACATAAAAATTCTACTTGTTAAGAGCAAGTTGGGCTCCGGTAACTGATACTTATAGCTAAAATATAAAACTATTGGGAAGTATGAAAAGATGTCTTGTGGTCATAGTGTGCCCTTATGCCGGTAATATTCAGCCTCTGCAAACGTTGGTATAATTGTAAATAATGTTAAACTCCATTTTCTAGCAAGTATTATAAGGTGATTATGTCTGAAATGTCACTCTCTTGTCATTTCTATTTACATTTTTACTTCTGTCCAGAGTATATTTGTGATGAGTCCCTTACAAATAACTATGTCTAATGGGAGTCACCACACAACCAGAATGACATTTAAGTGCAAGACCATTAGTCTATATTTTTAATAAAATACCAGAAAATTTGAGTTTTCTTTTTTTTTTTGTCCCACCTTTTGCTGAAAAACAATCACTCATGTGACAGTAATATTCGTATTACAAGCTGCATCAAGTTGGATTCTGCTCATTTTGGACTTCAGAATTTGCTGATCCTGATCAAGTGGCGTTATATCTTACTGCCAAGCATTCTTCATGAAAGGCAGCACTGCGGCTTGGTACGGAGTACACTATAATACCAAAGGAAAAAAATGATGTGTTTTTAAGTTCACCAGTTATTTGTGTTAGTTGCCAGAAGCAAGTAATCCTCCTCAGAGGCAACATACCTCTTTTTAGCTAATGAGGTCTCTAAATAACATGATGGTATTGTTACTTGTTCTGCTTTAGGAAATCCCCTCTGCCTTTTCAGTGTATTTTCTTTTCTCCCCAGTGTCCACACACACATTTCTTATCATCTCTTTTGCAGTGTACAGTGTGATTTTGATTATATCAATATCATTAGAACTTTTAAGTGCTATTCATGGAGTTCTTTCCCTATATTTATTTAATTTTTTTGTTTGGTTGGTTTTTTTCCGGTACCAGGAATCGAACTCATGACCTTGTGCTTGCCAGGCAGGCGCTATGCCACTGAGCTAAATCCCCACCCCCTATATTTTTAATTTTTCTAGGTTTTAATTTTTCTATAAACTTTTCATTAACTCCACAAAACTTGGTATTTGTCTAAATTGTACACATTGTTCAGTTTCATTAGGTAGTCTGTTTCATCTTCCTAAGTTTTTCCTGGAGCCTTTTAACCTTCCTCAGTCTGTGCCTGGTGTGTGGCTCTAAACTGGGAATTCCCTTCACTCTCATCAGGGAGATTTCTTTTCCTCTTATCCCATGTTAGATCTCTATAGTTTTCTGTTAATCTTGTCTCTTCTAGGTTTATTCCTTTATTTTGATGAAGCACAATTCTAAGAAAAGTAACATCTGGGCAAATGTTTTAAGACATGAAAATAGTTTTTTTTTCTCTATTCTAACATTTGATTGTTTGCTGAATATAGATTTCTAGGTTGAAAATCTTTTCTTTTTGGTACCGGGAACCGAACTCACGCTTGCCAGGCAGGCGCTGTGCCACTGAGCTACATCCCTGGCCCTAGGTTGGAAATCTTTTCCTTCAGGATTTTAACTTATTGCACCGTTGCCTCTAGCTTTCATTGTTGCTTTTAAGAAATCTGAAACCGTTACTGATTCCTGATATTTTTTGGTGGGATCTAAATTTTTTCCCAAATAAACAAGGATCTTTTGTCCCTAGTATTATTACATTCTGTGATGACATATTTTGGTATATGTTTATTTTAATTCACTGGCTGGACACTTGGGGTAAAGAGACTTAAACTTGAAAAGTGTATTCTTAGTTTACAGAAATTTTATACATTTTTACTGATGATTCTCCCCTTCTATTTTTTCTTTTCTCACTTTATTCGGTGATACCACTTTTGATGTTTTCTTTTTCCTCATAGTCTATTTGTTCTAAAATTGCTTTTCTCAGTTTTTTTTTCTTTCATTTTAGATGCTTGAGTATCTAGTTAATATGGACTAACAAACTGATTAGCAGTTTTAAGTGGGTGGATACTCTTGAGTATCTAGTTAATATGGACTAACAAACTGATTAGCAGTTTTAATTGGGTGGAGCTTATTAGTGTGGAGTTTTGCTGAAAGGTGATTTGTGAGTTGGGGAAAGGAGTCTGCTTAGCTGTGTAGAGTTGCAGAGAGCATTTGATTACTTAAGCCTATAACCATTTTGTTTTCTCTCTCTCTTCCTCCCCTTTCCTCTTACTTCCTACCACCTTTCTTTTTTTAGGTACTGAGACTTGAACCCAGGGCCTGTTCACTAGGCTATGTCTAGTCCTTCTGTCCTTTTCTTCCCCTCCCTATCTCTTCCCCTTTAACACTTCCTTTTTTTCTCCTTTGACACAGGGTCTTGCTAAGTTGTCTGGACTGGGCACAAACTTGCTATCCTCCTGCCTCAGCCTCCCAGACTACTCAGATTATAGACATAGGCCACCACACCCAGGCCCAATTCTTATTTCAATGTCTACAATTTTACTCTCTGCTTCCAGAGTTATATGAAGCCACCAATTCCTGAACCTTTTATGAATTCTGTGGTGTGAATTAGGTTGCTTTCGTTTCTTTTTTGGCTCTTCCTACTCCTGGCACAGAATTCAGTTTTCTTGGGTCTGCTACATTATTTAGTACTTGTCCATTTGCTTTCCAGCTTCTGGGTTTTTGTCGCTGTTGTCTTGTTTTTTATTGCCTTAAGTTGATACTTTATTTTTCTTTAAGTCCTATTTATTTATTCATTCATTTATTCATTTATTTAATTTTTGAGACAGGATCTTCCTGTATAGTTCGGGCTGACCTTGAACTTGAGGCAGTCATTCTGCCTTAGCCTCCCAGGTGCTGGGATTACAGGTGTTCACTACCATGCCCAGCATAGTTTATATTTTAAAATAGACAAAAACTTTATTGTCATTTAATGGACATTTGGGAGTGGATGTAGGTACATGTGCTTAATCCACCATCATTTTCCAGACAGTCACGTGATTCTTGTCTTTATTAGTACTTTATGTGTATCTCTTGACTTAGTTAAGAAGGTCCCATAAACAGCACCATGGTCTTGGATATTGGCTCTGAAGACAGGATAGACTTGCCTTTGAGTCCTGGCTTCACTACTTATCACATGGATTACTTTCAGCAGTTGAACCTTTGTAAATCTCATTTTCTTCAACTGTCAAATCTGGGTAATAGAAACATCCACTTATTTCAAAGAAGTGTTGTAAGAATTAAGAGAGAAAATGCAGTTGGCCAGTTGTCACTGTTGCTTGACATTTGGTGTTCATAATGGTTAGTTTTTGATATAAAGTGTTTAGAAGTGTATTGGCATTTATGGCAGAAATGTTTCATATTTTCAAGCACTATGTCATAGCTTGCTGATACTTTAGTTATATAAAGACTTTTTTTTTTTGGTCTTGTTGAGACAGGGTCTCGCTATGCAGTTCAGGCTGGCCTTGAGCTCACTTTGTAGCCCAGGCTGGTCTCAAACTCGCAACGATCCTCCTGCCTCAGCCTCCCAAGTGCTGGGATTACAGGCGTGCACCACCACACCCAGCTAAGACTTTCAAATTATCAAACACTTAAATTCATTATCTAAAAACTCCCTTAACTAATCAACATTAATTCCATTTTATACCTGGAAAGGTTGAGACTAGAAGTTTCAGAATAGCTAATGTATAGCAGTAGGCCAAGGCTTAGGGAACTTTTAATGTTTTGTTTTGTTTTGTTTTGTTTTGTTGTACCCTATCCTTAGGTGCTTTTTTTGGGAGAAAAAGCATGATTGTTATCCTGGGTTCCAGTATATGTTCAGACTGGAATAAGAGAAAATGTGTGGTTCCATTTTTGTGACCAGCTTTTTAAAGTTCAGGTCATACCTACAGGGAGTATTTAATACTTGGAATAGACAGTTCTCAAATAGGACATTCGAAAATAGTTTGATTATATATGTGTGCATTATATATGTGTATACATATATATGTATAGTTTGCTTGAATATGTAACGTGGAGTAATAGGGAACCATAGTAAATTTGAGTTTTATAAACACTTAAAATGAGAGCATTAAGAGAGGAAAATGTTAAATCTCCACAATCAAGTTATGTTAGGGAATACAACTTAGCAAGAAATTTGCCATTAAGTTAATGTTTTTATAACTGTTGGGAGTGCAACAGTTTTTGCTGTTTTTTAATGCAAGGTGGTGTCTTTTACTGAACCAAGGAATGGATTCAAGGGGAAAAGAATGGATTCAATTTTTGACCTGAGGTAGAAGTACTTTTGAGATGGAGATACTGAGTAGGAATTTGGATATCCAAATATGGCCAACACTTTGACTTGAAATAAATATTGAGGGTTTCTTATAGACAGATGTTAATTAAAACCATGGTTATGAGTGAGAGAAAAGTATATAAAGAAAAATAATCCAGAATCAGAAAGTATTTCAAGAATGAGCACATAGGCAGCAGATAATGAAGTTTGAAAGGTGGCAGAACAGCTAAGGGATTTACCCCAGATATGAGAGGATAAGTCTGCATAGTAGAAAAAGGAAGAAAGTGTGCTATCAGTATATTAGTTTACAGTTGCTATTAAAACAAATGGCTGTGAACTTTGTGGCTTGCAACACCTGTTTTTCAACTCTGAAAGTCAGAAGTTTAAAGTGGGCTTCATAGGGTTAAAATCAAAGTCTTAAAACACTGGCATTCCTTCTAAAGGTACTAGGGGCACATCTGTGCCTTGCTTTTTCCAGCTTCTAGAAGCTGCCCATTAGCACATATTCCTCTTATTGTATCTTCTCTGATTCTGAAATTGCTCCTTATAAAGGACCCATTGGGCATGGTGGCATGCATCTGTAATCCTAGCACTTGGGAGGCTGAGACAGGAGGATCATCATGAGTTCAAGGCCAGCCTGAACTATATAGTGAAACCCTGTCTCAAAAAAAATTTAAAAAGGACTCTTGCTGTTTCACTGGATTAACCCAGATACTCTAGGATAATTTCCTTACTTTTCCTTACCTCCTTGATTTAATCACATCTACAAGTTCCTTTTGCCACAAGTAATTTATAGGTTTAGAGATTAGGACATGGACATCTTGGGGTAGGAGTGGGGTTGTTGTGCCTACCACATGTGATAAGGATTTAGATTCGGGGGAAAGCAGTTCCCTTTTGCTCAAATCTGCTTTCTTTTCCCGAAGATCAATTTGCCAACCTCCGCCTGCCTTAGTTACCTCAGCAGTCGTAGCCTAGATTTAATTGGAGGCATTCTTTTTGCCAATACTAAATAATTCTTTGGCTTCGCCAGGCCCTAGAACCTGTTTAACACCTAGTCTGTCCTTATAGTCCTTTCAAAATCATTATAATCGTACTATTTAACTACACCTTCAACCTTCTCCTCTGCATCTAGCTTCAGTTAATTGACTGGTAAGATCTATCCCCGGTTAGATC